CTGATCCCCTGATTTCTCATCCAAAGCAACTGGGACCATCCAGTCTCATCCTCCAGTCACCATAGAGGACAGCAAGGTTTTTGTCTGGTTTTGTTTACTAGGAGAAAGCCACCTTACACGGAGGATTTCTGTATTGGTGGTTTTCTCCCTCCCTGCTACCATCCTCCAAGGGCAGTGTAGGAGCCTTTATGATTTAATGAGATGTAAAAATCCACCCTTCGGTGCTGCTGAATTTCTCGGTGGCCTTGCTGAGGGGCTGGGATTCTACTCCATCCATTTTTGGCCAAATGAAAAGACACATCAAAGATTCCCTTCTCTTCCTGGGGATTGCAAAACCCTCCTGTCTCCAGAATGTGTAAACAGATCCGTGCTAACTGCAGGGGAAACTCTGACTCTCCCATCCGTCTGCCCCTGGGCCTTTGTGCTGCCTGGTGCTGTTGTCTGAGCTTGGCAGGCCTGCTTCGGTCAGGGGATTAAGCGACGGGGCTCGGTGGCGCAGCAGCTTATGGAGATTGCCCAAGCCCTAAGCATTTCCTGTTTCGAGAAGGCCCGGTCCTGCCCATGTGCAAGGGGGTGACGACGTCTCCATCCCCAGCCCAGTGACCAGAGGGAGGAGCCAGAGACTAGAGGGAGGGGCCAGGGACTAGAGGGCGGGATCAGGGAGTAGAGGGAGGACCCGGGACTAGAGGGAGCCTTGCCCGGGTGTGCAAGGGAGCCTGGAAAGCGGCGGAAACCGGCTTCGTGCGTCTTACTATATCCTCAGTACTCAGGGGGTTGCTAATTACAGAAAGCCAATTGTAAAGTCTTCTTTCAGTTCTTTTCGTAAAATACAGAGGCGGGGAAATCCCTGGGCAAGGCATCAGAAAACCACACCAGAACTTCACCTTCAGGAGTCACTTCATTTCTCTAGATCTGACTCCTCTTCTGTGCAGTGAAAAGGCTTAAATAGATGAGCTCCTAAAAAAATTAGGAGGCCAATGAACTTAGTTCAGTCCTCTGTTGAATAAAGCGGCTTAGTTCTTGGAGTTTCTTAACGTTCGTAGTGCTGCTCTGTTCAGTTTTAAGGGATAGAATTTCTGTTACCTCCTTTGGAAAACTGCCCAGACCAGGAATGCCCAGGCTTTCAGAGCCATATTTTGTGTATCTATGTTCACAGACACACAGAAACACATATCCACCTCCAGTGTAAAGTTTAACCACATATAGGATATATAAGATTCCTGCTTTCACATCCTAAGGTGAAAGAAACCTCTGAAATTATAAGGTAAAATAATATGAACTATAATACTTTATTGTGTTGGGAACTTTATTTTGTCATATTTTGCAGTTGTAAATTATCAAAATTAAGGCCAGGTACAGTGTCTCATGCCTGTATTCCCAGCACATTGCGAGGCTGGGGTGGGAGAATCACTTGAGCCCAGGAGTTTGTAAGCAGGCTGGGCAACGTGGCAAAACCCCATATCTACAGAAAATAGAAAAATTAGCTGGGCATTGTGCGACTGTAGTCCCAGCTACTCAGGGAAGCTGAGGTGAGAGAATTGCTTGAGCTGGGGTGGTTCAGGCTGCACTCCAGCCTGGGTGAGAGAGGGAGACTCTTTCTAAAAAAAAAAAAAAAAAAAAAAAAAAAAAAAAAAAAAAAAAAAAATCATCAAAATTAGCAGGTACAAGGAGTGAGAAGTCAAAAATGAGCATGTATTTGTTGCCATCAAACTGACTGGAAAAGCAAACCACAAAAGAATAAAATCCAGACTGAGAAACAATCAAACGAGAATGAGGTTGCGTGAGTTCAGACCCAACTCTGCCACATGCAAGCTGCTGACCTGAGTCATTCAGCCTCTCTACTCTTGTTCTCTAAAACAAGAATAATAGCATCACATACCTTCCTGGCTGGTTGCAAGATTAAAGGATTAACAATACACGTAAAGCACTTAGAAGAGTGACTGGCACATAGCATGGGAAAGGCTGCATAAATTCAATGGTGTGTTATCATGAATGCAATGTGTTTATTGAGCATCTACTTTGCACTTAGAATACAAGGGTCAGCAGAATCTGAGAGAGAGCAACCAAGTGAGAGAGAGAGACAGAGACCCAAGCGTCAGCTGTCGGAAATGTCGTACGTCCTAGTCTGCTATGATCTCTCTGTCCTTTAAGTTGTATTCAATTTTTTAAAAATCATTTTAATGAAGCCTACCCATCCCAAGCACACCATGTAACTCAGGGAGTCTTAATGTCCCAGCATGTTCCTGCTTTGTCTTGTCGCCTTTTGTCCTGACCTCCCCTGTCTTTGCTTCTTTGTACCTTGCCTCTTGCACAGGGTCCCCCATCCCACACAGTGGTGCCCTGCATAGGACTTCACCCAAATGCCACCAAAACAAGGCTGTGAGAAGCAGACTTTGGCACTGTGAGCAATGTCTCTCTCCAGCTCATTCCTCTGCCAAATCAACCCTTTTCCAGCTTCCTTTCTCTACCCAGGAGGGAAATCATGCCACTTCCTTATAATCCATCCACGGCTGTAAATGGTGATATTTTTCTCCCTACAACAAGAATAATTACAGCGGCAAGCTGAAGAGTAGTTGCTACCTCTCCTCCGTTTTTCTATCCATAAAGTCACAAGTTCCTCTTGTCTTCTTTCTTCATCTTAAAAAATATAAACTCTAACTTCTTGTCACTGAGCTAAGTTGAAGACACTGAGTTAACTGCTTTATTTGAGTTGCCTCATTTAACTTATTTGTAAATTCAACAGATAATTCTTGGGCACCCACCACATACTAAGTAGTCCTATTCTAAAAACTGGAAATACAATTGTAAGCATAACAAATAAACAGAAGCCTCTGTGGAACATGCGTTCTAGTGTGGAGAGACACATATTAAGTAAATATCGAGCCATGACTGAGATCCTTAACTAAAAATAAAACAGATTGATGGGATGGAGAGACTGCAGCTACTTTAGAAGAAATTCTCCAGGGGAGGCTTCTCTGAGGAGCGATATGAAAATCCATCTATCAGAAGATGGTGTGCGGAAGGTACATTCCTGGACAAGGGGACACTGTGCGCCCCAAGGCAGGAATTTTCTCAGAGTATTGGAGGAACAGAGAGAGGGCAGGCAGGCTGGAGCTCAGGAGGAGGGGCCGTTAGAAGAAAGAAGTCTAGAAAGGTGAGCCAAGGCCAGAACACACAAGGCAGGGCTGGCGTTTGCGCTTGCTCTGCTGCTTTATGAAGAACAGATCGTAGGTGAGTCTGAAGGCAGCACGAGGCCAGTTGGGAAGCTACCATGGGGTCCAGAAGCAAGTGCATGGGGGCGTGGGCACAGCGCGGTAGTGGTGGGGATGGAGAAGTCAACAGATTTTAGATCTTTAAGTAGCAGCAACAGAACTAGCTGGCAAGTTGAGTAGGGGATGAGTAGGGGAAAGACAGTAAGGAAGAGAGAGTGACTTCGAGACAGTGGGGAAGACTACAGGAGGAGCACATTTAGGGTGGGGAGGTTAGGACTCTCTGCCATGGTATGATTGAGACGGTTTTTAGCCCCCCAGATAATGTCAATGTCAAGTGAGCAGTTGGAGCTCAGAGGCATCTGGGCTGAAGATGTAAATTCCCAATCATCAGCACATACAGGTGGGGCCAGATGCAATTCCCATAAAAGAGCAGACCTGTAGAAGAGAACAAGAGAAGAGGACTGTACCACAAACATGCCAGGTAGCACTGCTTACATCCCCAGTCCACACATCAGGAAAACAAGCTGAGGTGGTTTCAGTGACTGGCCCAAGGTCTCAGGAAACAGTAGCCCTGGGATTGCATCCAGACAGTCTGACTCTAAAAGCTCTACTCCTAATCACCTGGCCATAGTAGGCAGGTCCACACAGCAATGCTGTTCTGCTTCCTTCATGTGCTACAATTTCTCTGCAGGAAGAAGATGACGATGGTCTGCCTAAGAAAAAGTGGCCAACGGTAGATGCCTCTTATTATGGTGGGAGAGGTGTTGGAGGCATTAAAAGGATGGAGGTAAGAGAACAGCTTAACGTACACTTACCTATGTACCAACTACTCCCACCCAAGTACCAACTGGCATGACCCTACTTAGCCTCTAGAAATCAGGCATGCTTAGGGCGGTATGGCCATAGACCATGCTGACCACTCAATGTCAGAAACCCAAAGCAAATTGCTGAAAACCTGCTTGAGGTCTGGCGGGAATATGGATCTTAAGGCAGAAAGATGGAGCAATGTGGGGGACAGGCTTTTAACGGTGCACTCCCATGCCTTACCCACCATGAGTCAGAGCAGGTCACACACCCGCTCAAACCTCCTGGTGATTTCTTTTCTCTCTGGAATAAAATGCAAAGTTCTTACCTGGACCTGCAAGGTCTTTGCACGTGCTGGGCCTGCTGCCTGGACAATCCCTCCCTAAATACCCATCCTTGTGGCTCACGCTCTCTGTTCCTTCAGTCCTCCCCTTTTCTCTTTTCCCACAGTTTCCCTCTTCCCTGGCCCTCAAAACCCAAAGGAATCCAGCGTTGGGTAGCACTCACATTGCAAATCATTCACATAGTTGTCATTCCCATTCTCGAGGGGCAGCATATTTTGTCATTTTGTTTCACTGTATTTTATTTATTTTAGGTTCGTTGGGGAGAAAAGGGCTCCACAGAAGAAGGCGCTAAATTAGAAAAGGCAAAGAATGCAAGAGTCAAGATGCCAGAGCAGGAATATGAATTCCCTGAGCCTCGAAATCTCAACAACAATATGCGTCGGCCTTCTTCCCCCCGGAAGTGGTACTCTCCAATCAAGGTGTGTCTCTCTCTCTCTACTCAAAGATCTATCGTCAGTTCTGATAAAACACTTACATCGTAAAGAATCAAAATCTTTCCACATGATAAAATCCCAACCCAAAATCCAGCTTATCACAGTGGAACAATTATCTAAAATTATGGACTTGAAAATACAAGTAATTACTTTGTCAATTTCCACTTACTCTGGGTTGAAAACTAGGCTTTTTAAAAATCACCATGGTGCTCACTTCGGCAACATATATACTAAAATTGAAACGATACGGAGATTAGCATGACCCCTGGGCAAGGATGACATGCGAATTCATGAAGTGTTCCATATTTTTTTAAAAAATTGGGCCGGGCACGGTGGCTCATGCCTGTAATCCCAGCACTTTGGGAGGCTGAGGCAGGTGGATCACAAGGTCAGGAGTTCAGGACCAGCCTGACCAACAAGGTGAAACGCTGTCTCTACTAAAAATACAAAAATTAGCGAGGTGTGGTGGCACATACCTGTAATACCAGCTATTCAGGAGGCTGAGGCAGGAGAATCACTGGAACCCAGGAGGTGGAGGTTGCAGTGAGCCGAGATGATGCCACTGCACTCCAGCCTGGGTGATAGACCACAAAGAAAAAAATAATCACCATGGCAAAGTAGTAGAATAAGCATGGACTATGAGTCAAGTAATTTGGGTAGTAACTGCAGAGAGTGACCATAAATTTCCATAGCATCTCATAACTTCACTTAGTAGACAATCTACGATCTAAGAAAAATAGCAGCATTCTCCTTGATGCTAATCTCTACTCCTTTGGCCATAACATAAGCCCATTCCCTTTTATTTGATCCTCCTGCCATTGTTTCAGGGCTCACCAGCAAATCTTGTTGGCCATGGATCTAGGACTCACTCTTCCTGGTTGTGAGCAAATCTTTTTTCTCCACCATCTCTCTTTCCTTCACACCTCCAGAGCTTAAAATCCTCTTTGGTTTATTGGAAAGTGTAAGCCATAGGAGGCAGTTAATGCTTCCTAAAGGCCTCTTTTTTATTTGTTTGTTTGTTTTTTGAGACAGGGTCACTTTGTCACCCAGGCTGGAAGGGGGTGCTGTGATCTCTGCTCACTGCAGCCTCAACCTCCCAGGCTCAAGTCAAACTCCTGGCCTCAGCCCCCCAAGTAGCTAGGACTACAGGCATGCACCACCACACCCAGCTAATTTTTGTGGGGTTTTTTGTTTTTTTGTTTTCTTGAGAGACAGGGTTTCGTCATGTTGCTCAGGCTTGTCTTGCACTCCGGAGCTAAAGCAATCTGCCTACCTCAGCCTCCCAAAGTGCTAGGATTACAGGCCTGAGCCACCGTGCCCAGCCTGAAGGCCTCTTTTCTATTCTTTCCTTGTGCAAATGGTTTTGAATTGACATGATTCAGCTAACATCTTCACTCTTTAGCCTTGCCCATAAATATCTGCATTATGCCACTTGTCAGAGAGCACTGGGAAATTACAGCTGAAAAGACTCTAGACGTAATCTGTCCCCACTCTCTGATCTCCTACTGAGAAAGGCAAAGTCCTTGTCCTGCTGAGGTCTGGAACCCAAGGCCCCCAACTCAGGGCTACAGACTCCAGTTTCATGCTGCAAACAAAACTGAGCCAATTCTAAGACCTCAAGTGAAAGACTCAATAGAGCCAGCTCCCATCACCATCCATACATAAACACACACACACACACACACACACACACACACACACACACACACACACATACGGCCTTAGCCCTCTTCCATGGCAACAAAGATTATTTTCATCATTTACTGAGTTAATTTGCTAATTTTGGAGCAGCTTTTCTCCTCCAAAATCAAAAGAAGTAGCATTTCAGGCAGTGTAGCGAAATGTTACTGGTTTCCTCAGCTGAGCTAGCTCAGGCTCACCTGAATTGCCACGCATTTCTATTTTGGTTTGCCGTGTTTAAAGCAGTGAGATTCTTTTTTTAGGATAAGCCTGCCCCCTAGGGTAATGGCTTGAACTCTGGAAAGATGTGGACAAAATGCACTCGCTTGACTAACAGCTGTTTGCTTCTAATTATTTTCTAATGAAGAACATGCAGTGGCGTGCATGCATGTGCAGACAGGAAGGAGCCAAGTGGATTCTCAGCCATGAAGAAGAAAGGGGATTTTCTGTTATGCCTTCCTCAGGAATCTGTACCTTGTGACTAACACCACATCTTTGGTTACAGCCAGGTTTTTGTTTCTGTAATCTTGGACGTTGAGAGAACATTAATTCTGTTTGAACACTCTCTATTAAGTGGTGGTTTGGGACTGAATTTGATGGGATAAATAACTACATGGGCTAACACATTAAGCACTCCCAACACCCACTTTGAAATAGCATCAATTCAATGAGTGTTGTGCAGCTACTGTGTGCCAGGCACTGTAGGATGTTGAATATACAGAGAATTTCAAATCTGAGTGAGTGTCAGAACCACCTGGGAGTGCTTTAAAAAATACAGATTCCCAGGTCAACTCAGAATCTCACAAAAGGTTCCAAAAGCACACTGGCTCTCACCACCAGCCCACTTTTTCCCCTCAAGTGACACTCCTTTTGTTCACATTGCCTCCCTTTTCTAATTTCACTCCCAGACTCCCTGAGCGATACGCCTCTATTGCTCCAATTATCACTTCATCCACAGTCCTGGCTCTTGAGCTTCCTCTTAGTCTCTGTATTAAAGCACTGGCTCTCAAAGGTGGTCCCTGGACCAGCAGCATCAGCATCACCCAAGAACTTGTTAGAAATGCTCATTCTTGGCCGGGCACGGTGGCTCACGCCTGTAATTCCAGCACTTTGGGAGGCCCAGGCAGGTGGATCACGAGGTCAAGAGATCGAGACCATCCTGGTCAACATGGTGAAACCCCGTCTCTACTAAAAATACAAAAAAATTAGCTGGGCATGGTGGCGCGTGCCTGTAATACTCAGGAGGCTGAGGCAGGAGAATTGCCTGAACCCAGGAGGCGGAGGTTGCGGTGAGCCGAGATCGCGCCATTGCACTCCAGCCTGGGTAACAAGAGCGAAACTCCATCTCAAGAAAAAAGAAAAAAAAAGAAATGCTCATTCTTGGGCTCTATCCAAGATCTACTAAATCAAAAGCTCTGAAAGTGGGGCCTAGCCATCTGGGTGTTAACAAGCTCAGTTAAGAAGTTGTCACCTGCCAGGCACAGTGGCTTATGACTGTAATCCCAGCACTTTGGGAGTCAGAGGCAGTCAGATCACGAAGTAAGGAGTTCGAGATCAGACTGGTCAACATGGTGAAACACTATCTCTACTAAAAATGCAAAAATTAGCTGAGCTTGGTGGCAGGTGCCTGTAATCTCAGCTGCATGGGAGGCCAAGGCAGGAGAATCGTTTGAATCCAGGAGGCTGAGGTTACAGTGAGCCAAGATCACGCCATTGCCTGGGTGACAGGGCAAGACTCTGTCAAAAAAAAAAAAAAAAAAAGTTGTCACCAAAGGTTCCAGCCAGCATTCCATAGGAAGTTCTTAGAGGGCAGGAACTGTGGTGCCTGGATTGTTAAAATAGGCAAAGAGAGCATGATTGCACTGCAGAGATTTTTCAGGCATCTCAGCAAGGAGATCCATATTAAAGTTCACACTGGGTCCATTTTTGCCACAAGTACAACTGCTGAATTAATGTTAAGTGGTTGGGGATCTGAGTGTCTTGGAGTCAGCTAAAAGGCCAGATGGAAATGACCTAGGATACCAGTGGACTCACAGAGCTCCTCAGCAGGACTCCCTCATTAAGACTCTCAGAGTGTGAATCCTCCCTTTGCCTGGTGGAACAGCTAATGCTTACTCAGCTCCTTCTACTGTAGAGGAAATGCATACATAGCCGTTGGTGTGATTACTCATGTTTATGAGCCTTCTCTCCACCAGATTTGACCCCCTGCAGGCACCAGGTATGCTTTGAATCCCGAGTAAACAGTGCTGTACCTGGCGCATCTCTTATTAAAGAGCTGAGGCATGAGCCATAATTATGAAACCACTCCCCGGAGCATCCAGCCAGTCAAAACACACAAACCATTTTGGTATACTCTGTCCAGGAAAGTGACATTCTTCATGCTATCTCTGTGAGGAGAAAGAGAAAGAGAGGTTGTTTTAGGTGCAATAAGGAGGATGGAAGCATAGAAAGAAATTCAAAAGTAATCATGTGTGCTCTTTGTCCAGAAATAAGGCAGGCTTGCTTCTGGAATCTCAGGTTTCATACTCTTTTACAAGATGTATAATCCACAAGGAGTCCCATGCTAGCCAGAATGCCTAAGGACATTTGCTCGGCCTTGGACAAAACATTTAGCCTTATGTGGTACCATAAACTGTGCTTCCCTTTCCTGAACTCTCTCCCTGAACTCGCCATGGTCCTGATAGGAGGCAGAAAGCACACTGAAAAGAAGTGAACTAACAGAAGTGTAGGCAGAGCTAAGGGAACCCACAGGGATGGTGAGGCACCCAGGAGCTGGCAACAGCAAGAGCTGTTATACCTAAAGAGCATGTGGGGAAATGGTGTTACTGGGTTCTGGAAACAGCCGCACCCTGCAAAGAGACTACTCAACAGGAACTGTTTCTTTAGTCGACAATCTAAATCCACCCCACCACCTGTTTTTATAGGACCTGCAAACAAAGAATGGTTTTTACATTTTTTTAATGGTTATATAAGTATCTATATAATGTTGCCCCTTGGCCTGAAAATCCAAAAATCTTGACCCTCTGACTCTTTACAGACCAAGACCAAAGGGCAGCTAGGTGATATAGAGGCAGGCTCCCAAGGCATGGAGAAGGCAGGCAGAGAATGAATGGGGGCTGGCAGATCAGGGAAAGTGACCCATCCACCCGCTGCCTGCCTTCTGTCTCCACTATAAGCAAGGAGAACAGCTCCACCTCACACCACCTCTCAGCAGGTATTGGAAAGACTCCTGGCTCCCCAGTGAAAGGAGCCAGAATCACATACTTATTGTTGCATTGCATTAGACTCATTGGTTCCCATGAAAGGGAGTTTTTGAGAAGCAGGTGAGCACATCTGCCAAGCAAACCCAGAGAGAACACATGGAGGGAAGAAGTCCACAGTGGGCTCTTCTCCACCCCATCTAATTTAAGCCACTGACCACACCGACCACACCTCCCCCCTTCCTCATTCCAGACTCATGATCAGGAAATTTTCCCTGATATTTGGCCTGCATTTTCCTTTGCTTGGTTTTCACCCCTGGATTTACAATACCCCGTGCTTCTCATTAAATTGGGGCTGACCATTTCAGACAAATGAAGTCATGCCCAGCTATATGGGCAAAATTTTCTTAAAAACCAAAAGATAAAGCAC